GCGATCCCATTGGCGTCCCCTTGATCTGTTCGTATGTCACCCCCTCGGAGGTGAAGAACGTCTTCAGGCAGATTTTTAGGAGTTGAAAGAGATGTCTCCGTTTCACCGTCTCGCTCCACTCGTCGTATTGGCTCTCGAGCAGTTTGCTGACCGTGTCGACTGCCAGGTATTGTGGGATGAAATTAAAGACGGAGGTGACGTTAAATGACACCATGACCTCGTCTTCAGCGATTTTAACTCGCTTGAGACACTCCAGGAATTGGGTGGCTGAACATACCGTCATGGCCGCGTCCGACGTCAATGATTTCAGATTCCGAAAAAGCCATCTAGCCAGATTAAATATTGGTGCACTGCGTAATGACACGATTGGCCGTAGGGGAACACCGGCTTTGTGTACCTTTGGCAGTCCATAAAAACTTGCTGCGGGTGCGTCTGATGGTTAAATGGCCAGTCGTACCGACCTGCTGATCGCATTGCTGGTCTGCATTTCGGTAAGCATCTTATCCAACATCTTATCCGGTGCGTCGTCGCACGGGAGGTAAGCTTTCAGGTATATATATACACAGATGTCTCGACAACCATGTGCTACCGAACAGTTTGTCCTACAAGCCGCCAGTGAACACAGGGCTAGCGAGGCAGTGGGTGTTGCAACATGACAGACGAATGACTCGGGCACTTATCCAGGATTGTCATTTGCGGCTGCAGAAATGTCGTGGCGTCTTGAACCACGTTATTCAGAAGTGCTCAGAGATGTTAGGAGAGAATGGCTTTTTACTACTGGAGCGAGTGATCGTCAATCGAGCCAGAGAACTACGATCCATATACTTGTTCCGGAAATACCTCGAGGCTCGTACTTGAATGATATCAGGCGGTCGCCTAGTGAACTCAGATATATGATAGGGTGGATCCGGCAAAGCAACGGGAGACGGGAATTGCCATTCCTGGCTTATTAGCCGTCGTCATCCACCCACACTCTATATCAAGGGATGCAACCCCGAGAATTGAACCCGGGGCTTTAGGTCATTGATTTCAATACTCTACGAAGGCACCACCAGCTCCTTGCTTTGTCGGGTGAGATCGATAATTTGATGAATATATGCGCTTCACCGACCTATTAGAAGAACAATTAAGTTGCGCTTTGCCCAGGAGCTCACAACGTGAACCTGCCAAACCATCACTTATTGACTGTGATAATTTAATGAAATGGAGCTTAATTTCACGGTCCTTTTAGCCCACTATATCTCCAATGCTGTGCGGATAAAGTATGTGACGTCAGAACCTCCTGTATGGCCACATGCACTTACTGAAGTCAACAATAGAAGAGTTCAACTTTTTTTAAATCTCCTGAGAATTTAATTTCTGCTCGCCGTATATATTAGAATATTTAGGGACTATCGACAAAGACCGAAGTTGTAATTGTATATTAGGGCTTTTTAGCTGGTACCTAGACTGTTAGTATAGTAATTTGCAACATAAATGTATAATACTACAGTCATTTTGTTGACAGCAAGTGCATACTTCGCAGTGATTGACGGGTTTCAGCCCAAATATGTCAAGAAAAAGAACTAGGTTGTTCCAATTAGGCGCCCAATCCAAGAATTTGGCGAACACTTACATACATGGAGAACGTGTCCGAAGTCGTTGGAATAAACCTGGGGAAGTATCAAATCCAAGTCGCGCAGAAACCAACGAATACTCTGCGAAATCAGCTTGTACACTCTAAGGATAGGATTGGCCTTTTGGACAGAAAAGATGTCATTTACAAAATCCCTTGCGGCTGTTGCAATATAGTTTATTGCGGACAAACTGGAGGATCAGCGTCCACTCGCTCACGCGAACATCAACGAGTGGAAGAGGAGAGATATCACTTGTCCGAGGTCGCCATGCACACATTAGAAATTTGACATCAATTTTCATTGGACGAAACTTGCTTTGTTTGCTCTTGCCCATACAAGAAAGACCGCGAGTTTTTAAAAGCCATCAACTCCGACGACTCGTGCATCAACAGGCACGTCGAATTGGACGCGATGTATACCCACCTCAGGGAAGCATGGAAGAGACGACAGCCTATCCCGACTAGAGGAAGTGAGAACCAGCCACCAGCGACCACATGATTAGTTGCGGTCGGCAATTAGTTCCCGACCAACCACATAATTACATGCGGGTGACAAATAATCTTCCCCACTGACTGCACAATCACATGCGACTGACGATCATAGACTATTACCTTATTCACCATATAAGCCATCATTTTTAAAATTAACTGTTTTGTACAATTTCAACCCGTCTAACAACGACCTGGTGTGCCAGCGTCGAAAATTTGCACAAAAACCTACTGTCTCCCAAAGAACTCCTTCTACCGGATTATACTTCTTGGAATACCGATTTTCCGGAAACTTTTATTTTTGAAATGTCAGATACGATGTTGAACTTTTAGTAAGTAGGAAGTTAATAAATTATTATTTTGGGTAGATTTTCACAGCAGAGTGCATAACAAAACTGTTCTAATTTAAATTTCGCACAAATGTAGGTGTTGTTCGTTTGTCGGCCGCCGAAACGATACCGCACCCCAAACGATTTCCTTGGCACCTGACTGTGAGTCTGACCGAACAGTCATGCATGAACTTGGGCACGCTTTGGGCTTTTATCATGAACATACTCGGCCCGATCGTGATCGTGAGTTATTTCATTCAGTAGCCAATATTATCGTCAATGACTACATCTGGCTACCATGCCGGTTCATAGATATACAACTTAACATGTGTTAATTAGTCTTCAAAATCCAAGTTTATATTTTGTACGTTCGCTGCAAATTGCTAAATTCGAAGAAGCTGTCTTTCTTGAAAAGGGGACTAGACGTGGTGTTTCTTCTTCATTTTTGAAAATGGTGACAGTGTTGGTCTAAAGATGAATACCGGTTTAGCTGTTTATGCATGGTAATGATTGCGATAATATATTTACTTTGTACTGTTTAATTTCTTTTAAATGGGCATTTGCTGTTTCGTTTTTCTTCTTTCCAAATAACAGAATATGTCGAGATTATAAAAGACAACATTTTACCCGGTGCACATGCAAATTTTAAACAGAAGAATTCAACTGACATTAATTCATTTGATGAACCTTACGACGTTGACTCCGTTATGCACTACCGCGCTGATGAATTTGCCATTCCTGGCGCAAAAGAAACAATGCGGCTTAGGTCGGGTCTGCAGCGTCCAACACTTGGTCTCTTAAACACACTCAGTGCAGGTGATATAAGCCAGATGAACAAACTC